AGATGGGAACCACGTTGGCCCTCTTCCAGTCCTCCGGCACCTCTCCAGAGCACCACGAGTGTTCATAAAGCCGTGCCAGGGGACTTGCAATGACCCCAGCGAGTTCCTTCAGGACTCTAGGGTGAAGATCATCCGGGCCGGCTGACTTAAAAACGTCCAGCCCCTCCAGAAGCTCCCTAACTAAATCCTCACTCACTCTAGGCCCAGGTGAGCCTCCCCCGGGGCCCAAAGGGGGCCGAGCAGGGAGGCGGCAGTTCTGGTCCTTACTGAGGAAGACAGAAGCAAAGAAGTTATTAAATATGTTGGCTTTGTCGTCTGGCGTGACAACCAGATTCCCCGACTTGTCCTGCAAGGGCCCCACATTTCCTGGGGCCTTCTTTCTTCTGTGGAATCTGGATCCCAGGGAACTGGGGCTCTGAGGGTTCCCTAACTGTTGGACTTTTGGTTATTTCTATGTGAATCTTGTGTTTTGATGTTAGGCTAAACTGGTGATCAGGGTTTTTTATTCCTCTTCTTCATGAAAACTTTAAAAGGTTTTAGTTTGTTCCACATCAGGGAATAAAACACAGAAACAGATATCAAAATGTCACAATCCCTGTTTTCCAACCATCCCTAGGGTTCTATGACAGCATGGGCCTCCAATACCCAGTTCCTTAGTTTAATTCACATTGAATTGAATAAACTTCCTTTTGAGATTAATTGAGGTTGGGTCTGGTAACATTATAAATTTAAAAACAAAAATTGTGTGTGAAAGCCTTCAGGTCTTCAGGTTGTCCTTTCAAGCAGTGTGGATTCATTCAGCCAGGCATACTGCCCTTCATTTAAGTGTTTTATCTGGTTTTCAAATACCTTGGTGAATTTCTTTGCAGATCTATTTGCGCACATTCTTCTTTGTTCCTTTCTTTGTGAGACATCCAGTTGAAGAACAGTTTCCTGTGGTTAGAAACTTTAGAAGACCAGATGCTTTGTTTAAAAAAAAAAAAAGTTGCCCCCTTTCATTATCTTGATCATAACTTGGCTACTTACTTCCTTTTTAAAGCTGAATTAGGTATATATGGGTCTAGTTATTAACATATGTCAATTAATAAAACAGTTCCTTCAGACGGTGGTGTATATTTAAAATGTGCTGTGCTGCTGTTGTGGATTCTGAGTGGTATAAACCAGGGGGTGGTAGGCTATAGAGCCATTTGGTCCAGCCCACCAACTTTGAACTCCGGTAGCATTCATTGACAGGGCTTTTAGCATCAATTGCTTTTCCATGCACCATGGGAAACAGCATTTGCTGTGGGCACTCTCCCTGCGCTGCCACAGGGAAAAGTGAAAACAGCTGAGTCCTAGTACCCACCTTTTACTTTGGACTCGAACTAGGTCTGTCCAGCTCACTGCCTTAAGAGGTTGCCGATGACTGGCATAAAGAATCTGTCCTCAGAATTAATAGAAAATGTGGTCCATGTGAACAGAGGGAGTTAATCAACCAAATACTTAGAACCAGTTTCCTTTTGGGAAAGTGAAAGTAGTTTGTGTACATCTTGATTGTATTACAAAGTTAAATTATGGAGCCTGATATACTGTTTGAGGTGTAAAAATTGTTGAAAATAGAGAATTTCCCTTTTTCTCAGTGGTCTGTTAATGTTGTCAGGAATTTCAGAAAATGCTCTGGGTTGTTTAAGAGCCATCCTCCTCTCACCTTTTGACCTATGACTATGTAATGAATTTTTAATTGTTTCTCTATTCCTGTATTTTGTGAACAGTTTCAATGCAAAAGCCTGTGTAGCCTATACCTTCTAATATCTTCTCATTGCTGACAGATGAAATTGAAATAAATGAAGGTCATTATTTTGAATCTTGTGCTGAGCAGAACTTCTTTGCTTAGCTAGCCTACGAGCCTTGGCAATTATCCTTTGGAAAATCCAATATTTTAGTGACTACATTTTCAAACATGTAGATCTTAACTTAAATCCGATTACGTTTGTATGATGATTGATCTTTAAAGTTCTTTATCTTTGCATGTACTGTATTTAATTGTACCCATTTTGTTTTTCTAGTCTTTGAGGACAGTTTTCAGTAAAGCATTTAAATATGTACAGGCAGTCCTCAGACTTAAGATGCAATTGGTTCCTGAAAACCATGTCTTAAGTCGAAACATCTTAAATTGTAACCAGTTTTCCCATAAGAACAGTGTTACAAATGGGGGACTAGTTCCTTTATGACAGTCGCTATAGCTTCATGCAGCTGGTAAGTGGTGGAAACGGTGGGGAAAAGGAAGGGATGTTGGGGGCCAGATCAATGGTCCCCACAGTGAGGGAGGGACTGGGGCTGGGACAAGCACTGTCTAGCTGGGGCCAGGTGGGAGCAGGGAGGGGGAGGGGGCGGCTCCTGCCTCTGCCTGCCGCTTGTCTGGAGGCAGCATAGCAGCTCTATCTCGTGCCCACCCTGCCCTGGCTGGGCAAGTGGCGGGAGGGCATGGAGGGACGTGTGCCCCCAGATCTGTGCAGGGCAGGCAGTGGAAGGCGTTGGGAGTGGGGGCTATGCCCTCCTACCACTCATCCAGCTGGGGTGGCGTGGAGCTGCTGCACTGCCTCTGGACAAGTGGTATGCAGCAGCGGGAGCCACCCCAGCCTTCCCATGCCTTCTGGACAAGTCACGGCTTTGTCCTGTGTCCCCTCTGCCCCACCCTGGCTGAGTGAGCAGCAGGAGGGCATAGCCCCCACTCCCAGTGCCTTCCATTGCCCACATTGTGCAGATCTGGGGGCACAGGCCCCCCCCACCCCATGCCCTCCCAGCCAGGGCGGGGCAGGCACGGGATGGAGCCACTGCGCTGCCTCCGGCAGCAGCAGGAGCCACCACCTTCCCCTCTCCGCACCTGCCTGGCCCTGGCTGGGCAGTGCTTGGCCCAGCCCCAGTCCCTCCCTCACTGAGGGGGGACACTGATCTGCCCCACCATGCTTCTTCTCTTCCCCCTCCCCCTTCCACCATTTACCAGCTGCATGCATCTGTATCATCCACTGTAAAGACGAAACCCAAGTCAGAAGGTCAAAACGTGGTGTCAGTATATAAATGTCGTGACATTGATTGCAACTCAGTCATAAATTGAGTACTGCCTGTATATAATATGGACATGATTTAGTCAGTGGGACTCCTGATATATTTAAAGGTATTCTTCTGCTTAAGCAACTTGTTGTATTGGGACCTGATTGCATGAATAAACTAGTAAGCACTCCTCTTTAAGCTGCTTCCAAAACAGTGCATCTTTCAAGGAGCAGAACGTGTCAGTTGCTTGTTAATTTGGGGGAACTAAAGCAATGAATAACAACAGTGAAACTGGCTAGAGTCCTGGTAATTTTAATTTCTTGGAGTCCATCCCCGTGAGTGGCAGTGTGTGTTCCCCGGGGACAACTATCAGTGGCACAAATACATGCTGCTAGTTGTCCCCAGGGAATACCCCTGCATGCATGCTCTGGCATGCAACAAGTTGCCTGAGTTAGGGTATGGGACCTCCTAGGGCTGCAAGGGGCTTCTCAGGGCTGCAGTGGTGGTGATCTGGGTATGTGGAGCCTGGCTGGCCAGACTCTGGTTTCAGACAGCACGTTCTGTTGCCACGTGCACCATCCTGCTTTTTTCTGGCAGGGGATTTTTTTGACATCAGGATCTTCCAGTGTCATAAAACTCACTAAGCTGAAAATTAGCAGTGTGGCAAATGCCTGCATGTGGGGATGTTTGCAGTGCTGCAGATGGGTCTGTGGCACCACAAATCACATGTGTGCACTCATCTGGATGTGCCCTTGCTATTTGTCAAACCAGATACAGTATCTGTTCGCAAGTACCACAAGACATTTTCTTTCATGTGACCTCCTTAGACACGGGGCTAAGGGGATGTTTTTATAAAACGTAAGAGATAATTCAAGCAGCCTGAATAATGTTTAATGCAGATAACTGAAAACATTTCCAGAAGTAACAAGTACAGCTGTTATGTAGTAAAGTAGTCACCTGACTATCTGATATGTGTTGTTTACTGTTGAGTAATATTAATCCATCCTAAAAAGGTTGAAGGCACTGTTGGAAAGACGGCAAGATGAGTAGTCGACGAAAGCATGCACCGCCCTCCAGGGTAGATGAGGAGAAAAAGAAGCAGCTCTGCTGGAATATGCATGAAGATCGAAGGAATGAAGTGATGACTGATGACATGAATGAAGATGACTCTGTTCCCGCTCCCAGCACGTCTTCTTCATCCTTCATTGTTATAAATGATGATAGCATTGATGAAGAACTGACTTCCAGTGAAAACAGTGGTTCAAAGTTGGTGAGCTTCTCGACTATTACAGATGGAGAAGATTTCTGCTCCAACTTTACCCCTTTATCCATACAGCTCAATATTAGGGTCTCACCTTATTGTGCAGACAGTTCCTGGAAAGCTTTGCTTGGAGAGTTTGTTCTTCAGCTGCTCCCTGAACAAATTTTGATTGATAAGATCCATGAAAGGAGTTTCTCTTTGATTAAAACAGATTCTGGTGGTCAGCTGCAGATCTGTGTTGATGCAAAAAATGGAGAAGATGACAGTGGTAAAGATAAAGAAGACCTGAATGATTATGAACAAGCCATTCTGGTGGAATCATCTTTAAGTAGTGAAATGTTAGAAGGTTTGAGGTGGTTGCAAAAGAAGAGGGTAGTTGAACTTTATCAAAGACCTAAGGACGAAAAAGCTTTAAAGGTATTTGCTCATACAATTTTTCTTTTAAGAGGCTTTTATAAATAAAATGTTTATTTTGTTTCTAAAATTAGAAAGCTAGGTGCACTTCTGAGTCTAACTGCTATTACTGATTTGCATAATGTTAGAAAAACTGTGCTTCTCAGTAGTTATTTGCATAAATATTTTCTGCCACTGTTGACTAATTGCCTTTTAGCTATTATACACCAAGGTGACTTAATGATTTATTAGACCCTACCTGATTTCTTGTCTGCAGTGCACTAAAGTTTTATGTGGTGCTTTTAAGAGATGAAGTACATCCATATCTACAGGTCTTTAAAATGTGCCAAATTGTTTTCCTGCTTTATAAATACTAGTCTGCATTTTGTTTTGTTTTTTAAGTTAGGGTGGTTTTAGGATTACCTTATTCTTACAATATCCTGATAAAATATCCTAAACTTATTTGTGAGAAATTAATTTATTATTTCTCAGGTTGGCATTTACCTTCTGGAAACTGGTTTAAGCAAACTAGAGTTTCTCAGTGATGGAGGTGGAAGACCAAAAAAAGCTAACCACCTGATTCAAAAACTAATGGAAGAGTTCTACAGTTTTAGAATTCCAGGTAATCTAATTTAACATTTCAGTACAATTGATTATTACTGCATAATTTTAACAGTTAAAAGGTTACTAAATTTAAGATAAATTTGAAGGAAAATATACTATTACACTCCTGTCTTGCATGAGAACTAACTTTGTACGTAATTATATGGCTGTCCTTATAGTTTCATAGATTTAGGGTCGGAAGGGACCTAG